AACCAACGGCAGCCCCATCGAATCAAGCTCCCGTGAGAGGCCTCCGAGTCTTGGGATCCTTGCCCAGCAGAATCAGGTCTCTCCGCTGCTGTCGAGCTCGTCCAGCATTGTCTCCTTTGCGAGGGTGTCCCGTGCAATCCTTCCCAAGCTCACGGACGAGCCCCTCACGTTCACGAACAAAATAACAGCATTTCATACACACACGGTAGCCGTTGGTGATGCGGATGTCGTGGCCCCTCGCCATGTCCGTTGGGGCCTCAGACCCCGCACCTGCATCACTCGACGCCGCTGCTGACGCCCGCTGATCATCACTATCGCGCCGAGCAGCACCGTCGTCTCCAGCGCTAGCAGCTGGAGCAACCGTACTGCCGCCGAACTGCGAAGCAGCTGAAGCAGCCGCAGCAACGGCGGCGGCCGCCGCAAGCCCCGCCGCAGCTGCAGGTCGTTTCACACCTGACGTGTCGGCCGAGCGCGGGGCACTCGACACAGGCCGTGGGATGCAGGACAGGCTGAACAGCTTCCGCTTGGAATTCTCGGTGGCAGCGTACCGTCCACTCTTTGAGCACCGCCAGCAGCTCGCCTCGACCACGAAGTCGTGCTCCGTGAGGCTGAGACGAACCTTCGGCGGCAGCTTGATAACCACTTTAGTGTCAATGTCGTCACGGGCGGCTGACGCAGGGGCACCAGCACAGGACACCCAGGCCACAGCGCCGTCCACCAGCAAGTGCGAGCGCCTGATCTTGGTCCTGTCAGCTTCGCCCAAGGCGTACGGACGAGTGGCGTGCTTGGCCCACTCGTCGGCCTCAAGGTTGCCCCGACGCTCCCAACGAGACAGCCGACCCGCTTCCACATCTCTCAGAGTGCCGTGTCCTTTAACTTTGAGCACAGTGAGCCCGTCAGGACCGAGCCCACCGAAATCTTCGATGGCACACCACACCATCCGCCACAGGAACGCCCATCTGTGGGAGGCACCACAAGTACCCTCAGGCCCACGCACCAGGAGGCCGTCAACCACATAACTGGCATCAATCCGCACCGTGATGGGCGCCAGGCTGTGACGAAGAAGAATGAGCACGGCGAGAAGCTCAGCACCTTCTACGGATTGGTGCATCCCCATCAATGGCGAACCCAGGGCGCGAATGGCGCACTTCGGACCATGGTCATACCATCCAGGCCCTAGTGGAATCTGCACCACCGCACAGCCGGCCATGCCGTAATCGATGTCAAGGTCGAAAGCCGAGCCGTCAGTGAACAGCTCATCGTTGTGAAAGGGCATAGCACCATTCCCCAGCAACCACTTGACAGAGGACAGGATCTCGTCCTGAGGTGGCTGCCACACCACTTACTAGCAGCAGCCGCTCGACCAGCGTGATGATGTTGGGGTGGTCCGCCTGCCTCTTTAGCATGGCAATGGCTGCTGGCAACTCCGCCTGCGGCCAATGGTGAGCGCACACCATATGACGATGCCACAGCGTGCCAGCTTGCCCAGGGCACAAGTTGCAATCTTCTGAATGCGCATACCGAGGATTATTGTGAAAGCGGCGATGGTTGGTCCATTGCCCGCCGACGATGAGCGACCTGGCGTACCGCCGCTCTTCTGCACCAAGGGTAGGCCAGGCACGTCCTTCCGACGCCGTGGGCCGTCCTCGATAGATCCACTTCCTCAGCTGCATGATGTTGAAACCGTTGTCCAAATGCGGCAGCTCGTCAGCACACTTCTGGAACTGCCACCAAAGAACTGCTTTCCGAACCACTTGCATGGTATACCACGGCGAAAAATCCAGCGGCCTATACACTGCGCCAGTAGCCGCGTTGATCCAGGTGCTTAGGCTGGCCGCCGCCCAGCCGACGCGCAGCAAGGACATGAATGCTGCGCTGATGGGCCCACGTACCTGAGCCCAAGTGTGTGTGTGTGTGTGTGTGTGTGTGTGTGTGTGTGTGTGTGTGTGTGTGTGTGTGTGTGTGTGTGTGTGTGTGTGTGTGTGTGTGTGTGTGTGTGTGTGTGTGTGTGTGTGTGTGTGTGTGTGTGTGTGTGTGTGTGTGTGTGTGTGTGTGTGTGTGTGTGTGTGTGTGTGTGTGTGTGTGTGTGTGTGTGTGTGTGTGTGTGTGTGTGTGTGTGTGTGTGTTTGCGTGCGTGCGTGCGTGCGTGCGTGCGTGCGTGCGTGCGTGCGTGCGTGCGTGCGTGCGTGTGCATTTGGGATCTGGAGACACAGGAGGGGAGAAGGAGGAGGAGGGGGAAAGGGAGGTAGTAGATTCTTCCTTCGGGCAGCGAATGGCGCTCTCGCCGCTGCTGCCGCCGCCACCCCACCCCCACCCCTCCCCTTTCCCCGTGGGGATAGGTTTCCGAAAGCTCTGGGGGTAAAACTTCGGAGCATACGGAAAGTTTGTCG